ATATATATATATATATATATATATATATATATATACACACAAACACACACACACACATACATACATACATACATACATACACACACACACACGCACACTGCAATGTGGGGACAGTAAAATGCACATCCATTGCACATATAAAATTTAATTCAGGCTTCTGCGTAAAACCTCTTGCAAACAGCTTAAACTACAGCAAAATCTGTGCGTGTCAAAGACCAATGCTGAAGCATGGCAGCTATAGATCTCGACCACATTCACAGTCGAGCTATGTACCGTTCGTACATCGCGCACGAAGCGTGAAAACCACACATCCATGTACATTAAGACTAAATTTTAAGTCAATTCAAATATGTCCTAAGGGCATGAGCCGCGGACTGAAACATAGGATCGTTTTATGCAATGTGATTAAGGGGGATCGCTGAAGTGTTCATTGTTCCCCAGTGGCTGGGTCAAATCCAAAGAAATAACATGGCAACAACATTTAAAAAAGTGCCCTGACACAGGTGGTACCAGTCAAATAAATAAGTACACATTCGTTAAAAACCACCAACATTACAAGTAAAGCGATTTCAAATTAAATAGAGAATGCATTTATTTCAAAATCTAGCACAGCACTCCAGCAAGCGGCAACGTAGTGCGTGGTCACACACTTTGCCGATTATTATAACGGCTTCCACTGTCACATTAGCACGAAACACGTTTGCGGAACAAACTCCTGTAGGTCAGCTCAAGGAATCGCCCGGCCATCAACATATTTTTGTAATATTTGTGCCGCAACCCCTCTGCAGAGGCAAGACATCCGCAGAGCAACAGCCAGTAAGCGCATGAAACAGACGGCGAGCCCCCGGAGCTGTCAAAACAAGATCATTGTCAGCTATCAAAATGCCCGAGATAAACAGCGCACATTGGACTCCCCCAAGCACCTGCAAGCTGCATGTTACCCACATAAACATTTTTACACAACAACAAAAAACACCAAGTGATATAGCCGCATTATGACTAAACAGCCAGCGATAAAAAGTAGACAGCTGAGCAAAATAACTGGTTAAAAAAATAATTTAAAAATCACCTGGTAGGGCTTTCCTAGAAACTTCTTGCATCACCACTTCTAAGAACCCCGGTTCTAAGAAATAAGACAGCACAATTCTCGGAATTTGAGCTTGGGACTCTACTATTCGCAGAGGCCAGGGTAGAGAACGTTTTTTTAGAAACAGTCTGGAGAAAAACGCTCGGAAACTCCAGTGCGACGCGATGTTACGTTGTTTATAAAAGTACACTCTTGGTCAGTTTTATAACATGGAAAAGAAAAAGTGATTTGTTTCAAAGCGATGCATTAGGCTTATTGCTGTGTTACCCCTTGGAATGGAATATCCCAGACATAGACGGTCACGTGATCCAGATGCGCCTCTGCGTATCCCATGAACATAGCTCGGCCTTACGTTTCTCAGAATTCATTTGCCATTTTTAGATAGGTTGAGAGGAGGGGAATAGAGGGTTGGCATGTATTTCCTGTCGCTTTGCGAAACGCAGGTTGAGAGTAACTCTGAATAGCACTTACTCGCATGGAGACACGTTTCCAGCTACTTCCTATATATTTATTTATTAATTGTATTTTTGTTTTTCATCCGTAGTTTTCCTGCGTCGCTCTGGATGTCGACATTTTATTGGAGTCTGTCTGGATAGGGGCTTTTTATGGACTTCATTCGCTAGACTTTTTGCCGGATTGCGTTAAAATGGGCAGGTTTATTATATTTTTCTCATAACCATTGCTTGCAAAATGATTTACGAATTGCCTTTTTCTCCCACAGCGTGTGGTAAATTCGTAGGATTTTGCTGAAAGAATACTGCTGTGATTAAACTGTAGATATGTACCTGCCCCCCAAAAAATTTGACTTTAGCAAAAGACGTCGTTCTAAAAGCACCTGTTACAGGTGAACATATAATAATTTTATAGAACACAGCATAATATGAGTTATAATGAATAGCTAAATGTAACTTCTGAGGGGCCGCACGATGGTCCAGTTGTTAGCACTGTTTCCTCACACCTCTGGGACCTGGAAATGGATTTGCGTCTCCGACAGTGTGTGTGTGAAGTTTGCATGTTATCCCCGTGTCATCGTGGGATTTCCTCCGGGTACTCCGGTTTCCCCCCACAATCCTAAACACTCTAAGGCTAATTGGAGTTATCAAATTGCCCATAAGTGTGCATAAGGGGATTGCTGCGAGGATTGCTGGGATTGCTGCGAGAGAGTGGTGTTGAGCTGCAGCGATTGTTTGG